AAATTCAAATTTCGTTGCTAGTGAGATTTGAACTCTTGTCTTACCACTTAGAGGTATAACAACTTACCAAGTATACTAAGTTACTATACTCTATAATAATACTTTTATGCAATATTTAGAAAATATATATTATAATAAAAATATTGCTTTTAATACTATTAAATCTTATTGTAGATGTGTTGCCCATATTATAAATCTAGTCATGCAAGATATCCTTAAACAATTCAAGGCTGGTAAAGCACAAACTGAAAATGCTATATTGGATAATATAAACACACCTATAATGGCTAGGGATATAATTCCAAAACTTCAAAAACTTGTAGTTAAAATTAGGTCATTACCACAATGTCGTGAACAATTTATGCATCAAGTTAAAGCTGCTAGTCTCAATAATTGTAATCTTATATTGAATATTAAGACTAGGTAGAACTCCACATATAAAATGCTTGTATGAGTACTGAAGATGCATGAAGCAATAAATGCAATTACATATTTGGATAAGGATCTTCAATCATTGCAACTTAATATTAATGAATGGAACAAAATTAGAGAGGTTGCAATTATTTTAGAAATATTTGTATGAACAACTAAAATGATTGAATTAGCAAAATATCCTATACTCGCTTCTATTATGCCAATATATAATTATTTAATCAATGAACTCACAAAACATCGCAATAATCCTAATTATTCTTATGAAATAATCACTGCAATAAATGCAGGATTGATAAAGTTAGAATTATATTATTCAAGAACAAACAATATGACTATCTATATTATTGCAACTGTTCTTGATCCAAGACTAAAATTGAGCTATTACAAAGAAAATAATTGGGATAGAGATTTTATCAATGATATTAAAGCAACCATTCTTCAAATCTATAAAAATAATTATGAATCATCTTCTTACGAAGCTACTAATTATGATCAAGATAATATGGATAATGATGATGATTTACTTTTAGATTATTTTTATGGAAAGAAACAAAGAATTAATCAACAAAATAAAGTCAAGTTATATTTAGAAGATTCCTGGCCATTGAGAAAACAAGATATTCTTTAATGGTGGGAAGTGCATAAAACTAAATATCCCAATTTGGTTAGGATAGCTAGAGATTATTTGTGATTACTGCAACTAGCATCACAGTAAAGCAAGTATTTTCTGGAAGAACTGATTTAATTTCTGCTAAAAGATGCAGTCTTGGGGCAGACTTTATTTGTGCATGTATGTGTCTGAAGTCTTGGTGGACATAAAGCATTATTAAGCTTTAAATTTTCATATTATTGTAATTATAAAATAACAATAATTAAGTTGCAGATAATAGCATTAAAATATGGTCTTAGCATTAGCATTATATGTGTTAAATAAAAATAATTAAATTACAAACAATAATATTGAAAAGTAGTCTTTCTATTAGCATTATATAAATAAAAATAATAGATTGAAATCTAGTCTTAGCATTAATGTTATATAACAAATTTAAAAAAATTGACTAATTTCATAGTAGATATTGAGCTATAATAAATTACTGGATACCCAGATAATTTTATAATACCTAAGTAAAGATTTTCAAACCCAAGTTATTTTGAACAAATTAGGGTTTAACCCCAAACCTGACCTGAATGACTCTTTCAGAGCACTAGTTAATACCATCTTTATTCTTACTATCTTTTTTGTTTTTATCATTTTATTATTACCTTCATTGTCTTTATCATCTTCATTATCATCATTTTTATCTTTATCTTTTTTTTGTTTTCACCTTTATTCTTTTTATCTTTTTTACTTTTAACTTTTAACTTTATCTTCTTTAAAGTTAGCTTTAGGTAATTTATATTTTATTAAAACAAACTCTACAAAAAAAGAGTTGATGTTAGAAATTAGCTTTTGAATAAAAAAGTTAAACATTTACAAAAAGATCTTAAAACTTTAAATAATCTTAGTACTAGCTCTTTGCATCTAATACTTAAGTATCTTCTGCATTATATTTTTAAAATTTAGAAGTTGAAAAGCAAAATGAATCTTAGCTATCTAAAAGAAAAAAAAGCAAAACTATGCCTTTTTTTTAGTTACTTATAACTGAAAAGTTCTTGCACCAGAGAAGCAGAGAAAATAGCAGAACAAAAGATTCAAACAAAGCAACACAAAGAGAAGGTTGCTATATAAAAAAAATAGTTAAAGAGGCAAAAAAAGTACAAAAACAATATGTATGACAACAAAAAAGGCTTGAAAAAAAAACATGTTAGTAAGAAAAAGCAGTGTCTTAAAAATACTAAACAATTAAAATAAAGAAAAATTAAGATACTTAATAGACAATCCATCTGTCATCTGGAGAGGATCTGCAAATTTTATAAGTAAATTTTACTATTGAGCTAAATGTGGAGATTTTTTAAAGAAATGTAAAGAAAACTTTTTTCTTACTAAGTAAATCACTTTTGGGCTTATAATAAAACTTGTAGAGCTTATCAAGCTGCATCTAATATTGGTAAGAATGTTAAAATCAGCTTAGTAGTTTTTGAGAAATCTTTAAAAACTTTTCACCCACATATAAAATTTCTTTAAAAAAATTTAATTTTTTTTAAAGAAATTTTATATATCAATAAAACATTTTTTAAAGATTTCTCAAAAACCACCAGTCTGATTTTAATATTTTTACTTTCATTAGATGCATCTTGATGAGCTCTACAACTTTCATTATAAGCCCAAAAGTATTTTACTTAGTAAGAAAAGGTTTCTTTACATTTTTTTAAAAAATTTCCTTTTTTTTTTTTTTTTTTTTTTTTT